TGCATCTTTATATTTAGTTGACTTCTACACATAATTACGCGAATATTTTGCTCTTTTTTTTTTTTTTGTAATTAGCTTATAAACTCCGAGTTATTCCGATGTTTGAAAGAAAAACATGGAAAATATTACCAAGCGTATATAAGGGAGACTCTGATACCAATTGTTGGCAATATTTGTGAGCCGAACCTCGGAATGGACTTTGATTCTGCGCATGCAATTATGGAAGATGTCAATGTGATCATAGAATCCGCCGCCATTACAACCTTAAACGAAAGGTTATTACTTTAACTATCTCGCTCTTCTCACTTAATTAATTTTGATCAAAACTAAATCAAGTTGATGGAAACTAAGTTTCTTCTTCGATTGAAATATTATAATTTCACGTAGGTACGATGTGTTACTTGAAGCCAATGTCAATAGCCCCCAACAATTGATGCGTTTAGCTGAGACGTGCAAGAACCTTGAGCTATTTGTCCATATTTCAACCGGTACTTTATTGTTAATTCAGTGGGGAGATTACAGTTTTTATCCCTTAATGTTTGTACACGATTGCACATTTAATCCCTCATGTTCATTAAGGTACATTTGGTGCATCATGTTGGGAGCATTTTTGAAGTGCTGGCATGTTTTTGCACGAGCACAACAAATTTTTCTTTTTTTTTTCGTTTGTTTTTTTTTTTTTTTTAATAAATTAATTAGTTTAATTAGGAGCACAAGCAGAGCAAATTTTTTTTTTTTTTTCATTATTTAAATTCTTTTTTTTTTTATTATATGAAATATTAATAAAGTGCTTATTTAAAATGTAGATGGCAGGAGGTCGGGGGAAAAGTCTTATGAGTCAAGTTGCCGGTAAAGGCAAGAGCTTAATGAAAGCCTTGAGTGGGAAGGGGGACAATCCGGAAGATCCGGATCGCATTGGAGACCGAGATGTCCTTGCTTCCGCACGTAGAAGAAAGCAGTTAGCTCGAGAAGCAGCGTTACAGCGGGAAGAAGAGAGACTGAGACGAGAAGTTGTTGCAGCTGGAGCCGGACCCTGTACATTGCCACATGCCGACGACGATAATATGGATACTGACGAGGAGATGGAGCAAGATGATGGGCCAGCAGATGCATTTCAGGATCGTAGAGGTGGTCGTGCCTTACCCTTTCCGCAGCTGCCTGGTCCTGCGTACTTGGAGGGTCCGTGCGAGGGAGGGCCGCAAAATTTAGAGTTTATGCGATGGTTCAAGTCGCATATAGCGATGTACATTTGGGAAGGATATGTAAGTTTTTCTGTCAACACGTGCTTTACATAATTCTTATATTATTTAGAGTTTATGCGATGGTTCAAGTCGCATATAGCGATGTACATTTAGAGTTTATGCGATGGTTCAAGTCGTACTCTTTATCCAACAGGTCCAGTGCTTTGTGTGATACGTTACATACCAAAGCACCGAAGCACGACAGTGAAGTACTGTACATCCTGACTGTTCTACTGCTTTCATTTTCCACCTTCAATTCATTAATTTGAAGGTCAACTTGCGCATCTAGTGCATTTTGAACTGTATCCATAGCTCCAGTCGATGTTTGGATCCAACGCTTCGATGCACGATGTGCACTATCTACTCTGTTTCGAGAAAACACTCAAATAATGAATAAATGTAACATGTGTATAAAAGATTGTACGTAACGAGTTTATAGTAAAATCAATTTATATACCTGTTAGTCGTCGTGTTACCGAAATGAACGATGTTGTTGGTCCAACACTTAACAAATCTCTCCTTATAAATCAACCACGTTTCATTGATGTAAGTTATCAACTTCGGATATTGCCCGTACAAACTAACTATCTCTCTATAGTTGCATTCGTATTCTTCCTCAGTCTCAGATTCGACTAACTTTGCCCACACCGTCCTCCGGAACAGTACACCCAACTTGGTGTTACCCAAGAATTTTGACGCGTTTGCCTCAACGTTTCTGTTTATGTGATATAAACATAACATGTGATGCGAATGTGGAAACACGTTTGGCAATGATTTCAGTAGGCCCAGCTCACGATCTGTCAGTATCACTTCTGGTTCTATCCCGATTGGTAATATGTCTCGCAAACATCGCAATGTCCATGCATAAGTGTCCCCATCTTCACGTGACATAAAAGCAACGGCAATAGTGAAGTTCCTTCCCACGGGAGTAACCCCAATGATCTCCAAAAGAGGCATTTCATATCTACATGAAGGTAATTATAATTTAGTCAACTCTTACATATATATATATATATATAATAAATGTAATACACATTTAAATAATTATTACCTGTTAGTCTTGTACGTGCAATCCATCAGGATGACGTATGAAAATAACTGCAAAAGCTTTATTGAATCAGGGTGCGCAAACATAACGTCTTGCACTGTATCACCAGCTGGATTTGTTCGATGCCATTTGCTGTATCCACTCTCACTTAGTTCGTGCCACAGATGTTGTATAACTGTTTTTCCTTTCATTTCCTCTCGTCTAATTTTCTGTGATTCATTGTACACTTCTCTCAAGGACGCAGCCGTATCCGGATTCATCTGCCTCAGATGATGCAAAATTTCCTTCGGCTTCACATGGCTCTTTTTCAGTATCTTTGTCACTTCTCGTTGCTCTTCAGTCAGGCGACTTAGCGAACGTAGTCCTTGTGGATATTTATGAGGATTATGATTGTGCTTGCCATTTTTGATGGTAAGGCGCCATAATCCATCACGACCCTCTTTACCCCATAGCGCAAAAGGGCATTTACACTTTATTGAACCGGACTTCCGGCTTGTTTCGACCTCTGCATTTTTTCCTCGACTCTTATAGGCTCTTTTGCAAGTCAAATATTGTCGGCCCTCGTGGTAAGAATGTCGCCTAATCTCATGTCCATGACTGATGGCCATATTCATCGCCCACTCGACTAGTGCATCTTTACTATCAAATGCAGTCGAAATTGTGAAAAATTCACTGAAATCATGTAGCTCGAATGTTTCAATATCTTCATCCACATCTATGTATACTTCCTGTTTTTATATTAATGTAATTAGCAAATTATAAAACTAAAGAATAAAACTATTAAAAAAAAAAAAAAAAAAAAAAAAAAAAAAAAAAAAAAATTTGTGGGGCTCGTGTGATTTCACACAAACAGAGACGTTCTGCTCGTGTGATTTCACACGAGCAAACCTCCTCTGCTCGTGTGAAATCCCACGAGCTAATTAAAAAAAAAAAAAAAAAAATTGTTCTTGAGCTCGTGGGAATTT